TGCCGATTGATCAGTTTTTGGTCAAAAATTAGTGTCGTGCCCGAATGGCTCGGCACAACAAACGCATTAGAGAGTGTTTAATGTGGAAGTTGTGCCGATTCTTTCGTGCACGACGCTTGGTTGGACGCAAAACACTTTCAAATTGTCGATTGTTTTTGGTCAAAAATCAGTAATCGAAAGTTGTGCCGACGCAAAACATTTTAAACTTCCCTACTGACCGGTTTTTGCCGAAAAATCAGTGTCGTGCCTGAAGGGTTCGGCACAACAAACAAGGCGATATTGAATTGTTGCCGGTCTCTGAGTTACCGAGTTATAACTCATCGGTTAATGAGTTATAATTCATTTATTAAAACTTTACGAAACCCGAGACTGGAATTTTCACAACTAAAAAAAGGTCATCAACATTTTTCCTGAGTAACGTTTTACTACTTTGTTCAAACATCTAAAATAAGTTATGGAGATTTTCCCTGCAACAGAACTGAGTCCAAAGAAACTCGTTAGGAAAAACGCGGTTTTTCTGTTTAGAGACAGTGTTATTTAGAAATATTGACCTAAAAGTGAAGAAACCCCAGTTTGCAAGAGTTTTCCAAATAAATGATTATAAACTTTTGCTTTTCAGTTCAGGGAAATATTTTTGGAAAAACACCCAGAAATAATTATTACGGTTTGGTCCATAATTCGAAGCTGAAAAAGTTTTCCAAACATTTTAGCAAAGCGGTTAAGGAGGCGAGTGTTGCAATAAAATTTACCTTAAAATTTTTCACAGAAAATACCTGAAGATTGTCAGTATTTTAAGTAAAACTAAAAAATTATGCGATTTTTGCGTAGAAAGAATTGCTTAATAGAAACTTCGTTAAAACTGGCATGACCTGAAAATTTAAAGGAGCTTTAAAATTCTTCAGAGCGATGATGCATTTTTCAAATAATAATCAAAAAAATAACTTTTGCTCTGTTCGTTTTTCAAGATAATCCTAATTACTTTCGGTAAAAAACGTTTTTGCTTCTTGTGCCAAATTCGAAGCTGAAATGGGTTTTCTAAAGTTCCCTGCAAACCGATGAATGAGGCGAATTTTGTAATTTTTTGCGGAAGAGACTCGATTAATATCAGAAAAGAAGGAAATCATCAGAAAATAATGCTTTTTTTGCGTTTTTGATTAAAAACTTTCAGTTTTGTGATCGGTTTTGGAGAATCGCTGAAAAAAGGTTTTGTAAAAGTTTTACAGAGCTATAAACGTATCTTATAATTTTTAAAGTAAAAGACCTCCAGATCGTCAGTATTTTTAAGTAAAACTCTACAAAACAGAGCGTTTTTGAGTAGAGAGTAAAGCAAAAAAAATTAGGCCAAAACTAAAAAAACACATTTTTTTAGCGAACTATTCCAGTCCTCCATGTCGATTTAAGATGTTATTTATGTGAATATTCTTCTATACAAAGTCATTCTAATTGTAACCTGACCATGACTGGATACGTTGTTTATTGTATTATTTTATTTCAAATAGCGCGAGTATAAAAAACTCAACAAGAGCCTGATGGAAGGAGTGCAGATCCAATAAACAAACCACTCAAGATAGCCATGCTTGATAAGGCTGGAAACGTATAAAACCACCAAGTGCGAAACGCATGGCAAACGTTACTTTCGAATCAACCATGAAGCTCGCGCTCTATCTTGCAACGGCAGCTATTGTGGTGGTTTGCTCGCAAGCGGCCACTTTCAACATCAACAACAAGGATGGAGGCCCAATCTGGGTGGGCATCCAAGGAAACACCGGTAAGGAACATCTGGCTAATGGTGGCTTCAAACTGGCTCAGGGAGAATCGGTAAGTTGTTCAGTATCCAAATGATCCAGGTCTCATCCAGGGGTTGTTCTGTTAGAGGAGTTTGACTGCTGCTGATGACTGGGGCGGCCGATTCTGGTCCCGAACTTGGTGCTACGAGGATGAGAACAACCACTGTTACACCGGCGATTGTGGCAACAAAGTGGAGTGCGAAGGAGCGGGCGGAACTCCTCCTGCCACTCTAATCGAGTTCACTCTTCAAGGGTATGGAGGTCTCGATTACTACGATATCTCGTTGGTCGACGGGTATAACAGCATGGCTTCTGTAAGTAATTGTGCTCCGTTCTACCGTTGCCTCTTCAGCATTTTCTGTGCAAAAATCTGATTTTCCTTGAAACATCCCTAGGTGGAACCAGTGAACGGGCAAGGAGACGGCGGTGAATACAGCTGCAAGAAGGCCCAATGCGCCACTCAAATCAACTCTTTGTGTCCCTCGGAGCTGCAGGTCAAGAGCCCGGATGGCGGCTCAATCATTGCGTGCAATTCCGCTTGTAACGCCTTCCTCACTGAAGAGTATTGCTGTTCTGGATCGCACAGCACTCCCGAAACTTGCAAGAGCTCCGACTGGGCTGTCGACTATCCAGCGATCTTCAAATCGGCATGTCCAGACGCCTACAGCTACGCCTATGACGACCACAAGAGCACCTTCACTTGCGTGGCAAGCCAATACAATATAAACTTTGGAAGCGCTTAAGCTCCCACGAATGTTCCTGTTAATTTGATATAAGAATAAATGCTTTCTTTGAAGCAAACGGCCTTTTGTATGATTGAAGACTGAATTTAGCACAGGTTTGTTGTTCTAATCAAAACTTGGACGAACCCAAGTGAAAGCCATCGGTCCTGAACTTAATTAGCTGCTCGCTGCACAGCCAAACGTTATTGTTTCTTTCCAGTGGGAAATGCGCGTTTCCTACGTGATTTTCC